TTTTTTTTTTGGTACTGGGGATCGAACTCGGGTCCTTGCGCTTGCGAGGCTGGTGGCGGAACCACTGAGCTAAATCCCCAGCCCCCAGTTACATAGATTTTTGATGAAAAGTCTCTCAATAAAACACAGGGACCTGACCTGTGCTGTGATCTCCACTTTCAGATAATCCAACCTAAGACAATGTCACACACACACACACACACACACACACACACACACACACACACTGGAAATAACATTTTCACAAAAAACTATGAAGATCTTCTTATGTATTCTTCAATTGTCCTGAACCAACCCACACCAGAACCAACCAGTCATTGGAAATGACTGATGAATGGGATCCCAGGGGTGGAAGCAACTAATTACGTGCAGATGTCAGGGAACATCAGAGAAAGAGAAATCAGAATGGGGCATAGAAGGTTGAGGGGAAGTTTTCTGAAGTAGTAACAGAAGTGGCCATTTCAAGCAAAAGGCAGGAGAGCATGTCCTGGAGGCACAGGGTGGGGTTTCTCAAAGTGCTACTGCCTGTGGCATTAGCCAAGCATGGAGGAGGCTGTTCCTCAGATCTCGCCTCACTCAAGTGAGGTCACAGTGCCTGACTCTGCAACTCTCCAGATGCCAGTGTTCTAGAATGTTTTGTTTTGAAGAGGAATAATGCATTGGAGTTTTCCCCAAAGGCTGTAATTCTTCCGTGCCTGGTTCTTCCTTCCCTCCATTTCTATTCATGAGGGTAATAAAAGCTTACACTAACTGGGCTCATGAGGGCCAGGCATAGTTCTATGTGCATGATTGTATTTTTCATTTATGGCCTGTGACAATGGCTGTGAATAAATGCCTTACCTCATTCTGCTCATCAGTACGTATGCTTTGCCTCTGATCTTTCTTCAGTACTATATTTCTTTTATCAATTCTGAAATAATTTCCTTGTTGCTGGAAATATACATCACACGTTGGCAAAGCTGTTGCTAATATCTTAAAAAGAAAAGAGGTGACAGTTTAGCTAACCATCAAAGCTATCAGTCATACCCTAGTTTAAGAGATTCAAATTATACCATAATTAAAAAGGTAATCACGAGTCTAGTTTAATAGCCCCAGGAAGAAGTACTGCAGGAAATTAACAATATTTTTGTTTCTCTGAGAAAAAGTGGAAATTCTTGGTGGTCCCAAGGCCAAATTTTGAGTTTTCTTTTAAAAGATACTATGCTGGTTAATGCCTAAATTGAGAAAATATTCAATTATGAGCTTGGTTTTGTGGTGTTTAAAAATGGTACCAATGTTATGTTTCAATGCGAAATCTCAAGGAGAAAGAGAAAATCACCAATCGGCATGACATAGAGATTCAAACAATTCTCAAGTGTTATTACTTCTGACACTACAGACCGATTATTCTTAGTTCCTACATTTTGTAGACGTTGGTTCCCATAAGAATTATATAAAGGTAGTCAAATTCCACCAAACTAAAGGAGAGAAATCACATTCATGCAGCTCCAGTGTCCTTAAAACCCTGGCTTTTCTAGGCTTCTTTTTTTCATCATCCTTTTGGTTGTTCAGCTGCCAACTCAGCTAAAATCTCCACATTTCCAAATGCTGACTGCACCCTTGATACTGGTGTTTGCTTGGCTGATTCCATTGTTGGTTTAACAAACAAGAGTTTGACTGTCACGGGGTCTCTGGTGGCTCATCCAGAGTGCGCAGTCCTCTGGTCAGTGCTGACCCACATCAGGGATCCTGTTCATTCCTGAGTGCACTCTTTAGGCTCGGCCGTGCTGTCTGGCTGGGCCGGTGCCTCTCTGCCATGATGGGCCCATTGGATAGGTCACCCTGGGATTCCATCTGTTCTCCTGTCACCCACAGTATTCATGTTGTAACGCAAAGTTTTACTTTTCCAGTATACAGAAAGCAAATGCAGAATTAATGTTAAGTCTATACCAGATTCTATATTATATTGAATTCAACCATTATTAGTTGTTAGGTCTTGAAGCCATGTTTTTGCCACACGGAGAATAGCGACTCGTTCCCTACTTTTCTCTTTCAAAGTGCTTCAGGGGGTGGGGGGGAAGCCTGTCTTCCCAAGCCTCACAGGGTTTGCCTGGGGACCCGGCTGCACACAGACCTGACTCAGTGCCTGGGGATGGGCTTAGTTCTCATGAGCTCCCAGGTGATGTCAGTGTTGCTGGCCTGCAGACTATGTTTTGAGGAGCAAGGAGATATATATACCTTCAAGAGCCACCAAGCAAGTTAATTGTAATTCTTCTTAGTTGTCCGGTTGAAATATTAAAACAATTATCCACAGGATGCAGTCTTGGGTTTCCATCCATTTATATTTCCGGCTTCACTCTTTCTGATCTCTCTGTTACCTCTTAGAGCCATAGTTATGCCTGCTTAGACTACTGCAGACCACTTTCTCTCCAACTCCACCTTCTCTTCTGTAGGGTAAGTTTGCAAGAACACTAAAGACATTCTTCCATCATTTTCTTGCTCAGAAGGCTTCAATGAGTTCTCATTGTGCAAAGAATAAAGTTTAGCCTCCTTAGTAGGAGACTGTAATTTTATTTTCCAATACTTTTTCCCTCTTTTAACTCCCTACTCTACTTGTGAATACACCTGTATTATTCCTCCTCTAAGATGATATTTATCATTTTCTCTGGCTAGACCATCTTCTCAGCTATTCTACAATCAAGATCCATGCGTTTTCAAGTCTCAGACCAAATGATGCTACCTATTAAGGCCATTCGTAAGGGAGTCCTCATGGCTTAAAAGTGCTAACAATGCACCAACCCTCCCTGTAATAGGGTACTAGGCTCATCTGAGCCCATCTTGGGCTATGCATATAAAGGTATTAGCCAGAGCGAGAACTCCTGGGGCCTGAGACCCTAAGAGTACCTTTTTTATCCTGATGCTGAGCTCAGCATTGTGCATGTTGGTGAGCAACACTGTAATATGTTAAGGGCAATTTAGTAAGGGGAACTTGGGTTTTAAACCAGGTTTCCAGCCTCTACTGCCTGTATGACTTTGGCCAAGTTACTTAGCTTTCTACTGTTTTTCCTCTTCTGGAAATCAGGGATGACAATGCTTATGGCTGTTTGGAGAGTTAAATGAAATATATGTTGTGAAGTACAGAGCAGTAAATTAATGGAACTTTCATTAACAATATATCAGCAGTAGCAACAGCATGGTAAGAACACCACAAAAGTATGTTAAGTGAATGCAGATAATTAAATGGTGCCTAATTTAAATCTTTTTGACTACAATTAAAGATCTTATCCTCAGTGGAAAAGAAAAATTACATGATTGGTGCCCTTTAAACAATCCCATCTCAAATTTTCTTTCTTTTGCCACAGGCATTACTTTCTAATCTTTTAAGAAAAATTCACCGGCCCATTAAACCTATTTTCCATCGTCAGTTTTTTCTTTAAGCCGTGGAGGATTCATGTTATAAATGATGGGACCCTCTCACAGTGACCCCAGCGCTCCTTCAGACTCTACCTGTGACCCCTGGCCTAGGGCTGTGCTAGCACTCTTGGCTCTGTCCTATTAGTTGGTCAGAGCACCCGCCACTGGGCACAGGCTGAATGACTGGTAAGTACTCGAACAGGTCATCTGTTTTATTTTATCTTTTTTTGGTACCGGGGATCGAACTCTGGACCTTGCATTTGTGAGGGAGGCAGCGGAACCACTGAGCTAAATCCCTGGCCCCAGTTCATCTGTTTTAGATCATATTTTGGTTTCTTTTTCTTATCTAAAAGGTGGGAACTATTGACTTCACAGTAAAGGCCTAAATATGTAAATACCAATATTTCTTTCCAAAAGTTTTCCTTTTTGGTCACCATCATAAAGATACAGCGATAAAGAGCAGCAAGAAGAATCGAGGCACAGAATTGTTTCACTCTGAGCCCACTCACCACAGCTTATGTCTAAGTGTAGACAGTGACAGACTCACTTCCAGTCATTAATCAGCAAATTGCAAGCCTCCTACTGGGCTTCGTCATCTCTCTTCACCAACAGAGTCCGGATAAGAAGAGGCCCTGGCAAATGACTTCGACACTGGTGCCCGGAAGGCGCTCCCCTGCTTTCTCTACCCAAATCTTGTCTAGAGAATTTTCACATGTGTTCTCTCCTTAGAGTCTTTTACCTTGAGTCACCCTTTCCTTTCACATATTCCTATCGATGGCTGGAGCCGCAGTCTTGACAATCTTTTGTACTTCATTCATGAATTATCAGAGATCCACAAAATCTCCACTGTGTGTCAGGCACTGTGCTAAGCACTAGTGCAACAATGAGGACTACAAGACACACCCACTGCATGTAGCTTACAGTATCATGGGGGAGACAGAGACGCTCATGTTCAATCAACATATTCCACCTGACGCTTGCACTGGAAGAGCAAAGATAAAGTCTATTTCATCACAATTTGATCTGATTTGCTTTTCTGATCCAGGCTCTGTGCTAGAAGTGGGATACAAAGGTAAGCAAAGCACAGACTCTGTTCTCAAAATTTACACAACATGCACTCAGATGCTATAACACGCAACTCAGAGCAGCATCTGTGGACAGTCCATTCCCTTCTCAGTACACTAACCACAATCTCAAGTGTGCGCTTCATGTATTTACCTGTGCGCCATCAAATGAAGTCTGTGGGGAGAATCAATGAGATACGAACCAAAGGCGCCAGTCCTTGGAGGGGCGTGGCTTCCTCTGCCTCAGAGAGGTAGAAATTCAAAGGAGCAAAGAAGTAGCCGGGGGCAGGTTTGGTGCAGCTTCGGCCAACAACGTGGGAGCGGCATTCACACTGCCCATCCTCGGGTGTGCAGCTGAGAAGAAAACCTATCGTGAGAAAGGGGTGGGTGTGTGTGTGTGTATGTGTATCGGGGAGGTGTGTGAAGTGACGACTGGGTGTGCAGAGCTAGAGGCTTCTGGAGTTGGGACTCATCTACCCATTGTCCCATGAGGATGAGGAGAGGCCCGGGCTCCAGCTGACTGGTCTTGAAAAGTGAATTCAGATCCAGTGAACCCACGCAGCCACTTCCACTTCTTTGGTTCTCTGGTGCTCCTCCAAAAGCTAGGAAAAGGGCTGTGTGAGGGTCTGTCTTTTTTTTTTTTTTGTAACAGGGATCGAACTCGGGTCTTTGTGCTTGCGAGGCAGGTGGCGGAACCACTGAGCTAAATCCCCAGCCCTAGGTCCCTTCTTTATAGTTTGGCACATAGGTGGTCTTTAAGGCAGGCCTTTCAGGCACCCACCCACCAGCTTATGGGAAACCCAGGCAGGAGGATTATTTATCTGACTCTCGGCAATATCTGAAGTAGAAGAAATAACTGGGCTATAGTGAATGTCCTTTTACTCCCTTGGCTCATTACGGAATAAAATCCTTCACTTAGGACTATGAGCATAACAGAACAGCACGTGCCATGTGGAAATACGAACTACTGCTACAAAACTCCATTATCCATTGTACAGACTCACGTGTTAGAATAAGCACCTCCAGTATCACGGTCGCAGGGAGAACATCCATGGAGATGAGGGCCCAGGCCCCAGTAGCCAACCTTTGGAGAGAAAGGGCTCAGTTGATCCCAGCTGAGAAGACTTTTGCTGCTCTGATGTCCAGTACTGAAATCATTGCAAAGCCACTGCCACACAGCAAATGGACCAATGGCCGGGCCAACCAGGCTTGGCCACAGGTGACCTCCATGGATCCCATCTCCTCCACCTCTAGGAACTTGAGTAGTGGGGACAGAAGGTTGTCCATGTACTGTTTCAAGCAGAAATGCAATGGAAACCAATTCTTAAAGCCCCAGCTTTTGCTGAAGCTGGGTCATTTAAGTCCTCTTCGAGCTCTACCATTTTACTTGCAGCTGTTTAATAAAACCTTTAGATTCCCTCACCACAAGAATCCTGGGGGTTTTACTTACAACACTGAAATATTTGAGGATAGAAAAAAATCAGTCAAGCTGACTTTAAGATATGCTACGAGTATCACGGTCCAGTAGAGACAGTCACTTGTAAACCAGTCATTTTGGCACGAGGTACACCTGTGTGAGTCAACTCTGTGGTTCAGGACTTTTTCAATCATTGCAACATCTTGAACTTTGTGCAGCATAAGCAGCTAGTGAGATACAAACAACTACTTTTAAAGTCCGGTAACAGTATAAAATGTTCAGAAAAAAGTACTTCCCTCTCAAACCTCGGTTTAATATGCTCAGATATAAAATGTAGATTTCAGTAGGCAGGAAACTCTTGTTTGGAATGGTCTTAACTTTATCCACAATGTTTTGTTATCTTGAAAGGTTTTTTGCTCAGTTTTACTCAAAAGGTTTATTTCAAACATTAAACAGTAATGTTGTGTGTATAAAATGCAGCAAAGAGCTTTTGAAAAATTTCCCCCAAACCAAACTTCAGTTTGAGAAAAAAAAAAAAGTGAAATAAACTACTTCCTTCAGGATGTGGTTGTGAAGACTCCAGGAGCGAAGGCAACAGGTCCTATCAGCCACTCAGGTGGGCCAGGGCACCACTGGACAGACCTGCAGGTGTCACCTGCCGGATGCTGGGGCTCCATCACAATGGACAATCCCTGCCTCCCAGCATCTGGTCAGTTCTTTTCTTCCCACAAACACAGCAGGGAGTGTGCAGCCTGTGAGGTATTAACTGACCGACCTGTGAAAAGCCAGCCTGAGGGCCGGGAATTTAGCTCAGTGGTTCTGCCGCCTGCCTCAAAAGTGGAAGGACATGAGTTCGATCCCTGGTACCAAAAAAAAAAAAAAAAAAATCCATCTCCTTGTTTCTTATTATCTGTTATTTTCCCTCTTCTTCACATTTACTTCCTTGCTTCTTTTCTCCCCATGTCTGCTTTCCCATCCTAATATGTTTTGAGTAAAGCGACTTAAAATATTAGCACCAAACTATTTCCTCAGAGGCACATGTTTCTTATTTATCAGCTACATTTCTTCAGACACATCAAGGTCACTGTTCTTTTATTAGGCTAAGTTTTTGTTTTTCCTGTTTCTAAAATGTCATAGTGGGCTGCCAAGATTGGAGAACAAAGCAAACAGCTGGGCTTCAACCCCTCCACTGCATGACACATTTCTTAAGGAGTGAAAATGTCTTATTTTACTAATTTTACAAGGTACATGCTCCTAGGTTTAGTGGTATCTGTGAAAAATCCAAGAGTTTACTTCTCTTAGGAATCTAAAATACATTTAAACTCAAGGTTTTTTGTTTGCTTGTTATTTTATTTTATTTTTTAAGGGACTCATTTAAAATATTTTTAGGCAGAAAATGGTAGGAGTGGTAAGGGAATTGTGTCCAAGACGTAAAAGAAAGGCTGCCTGTTTGGCCTGGTGGGCCAAGGAGGAGACAGATAAATGTCTTGCGTTGTCAGGCACAGCGAGAACAGCACTGGAAAAGCCCACTGGCAGCTCTGCTGGGTAGGTTTGGTCCAGGGCAGTGGTTGGCTGGTGAATGGCTGACAGCCATCTCTGAAGGACCGGCAGTGGAGGGGCCGGTGTACAGTGCTTGCCAGTTTCTGCAGTGTGAATACTCAGACCACGTGAGCACCAAAATACAACAGAACAAGGAGAGCGAGTAACAAGACCAAGTCCCTTAGAAGCAATGGTGCTGGAAGTCTGCATCACTGCATGGAAGGGAAATTACAGGTGCATACGTACGGCGCACTCTTTGCAGCGTGGTCCGGTGACAAAGGCCCTGCACAAACACTGGCCTGTATCTGCGTCACAAGCTGAGACCGGCAGGCTCCCGAGGGGGTCACAGTTGCAGGCTGAAAGCACAGAATTACAGTTATTCTCATCCTCGAGTCCCCCAGTTTTGAAAATGTCCTTCATTGCTCACACTGAGCAAAACACATAGCCGCAAGGACAGAGCAGCCTGCCCTGGAACTCTGCTGTTGCCTAGCTGCAGTATTGTACTGCTCCCTGTGCTACACAGGAAGTTCCATCCCAGACGTTCTCAGAGTCTGTAGCTGACACAGTCAGTGGAGGAGGCTGTGTGGGCTGCAGCACTGGCACCGTCAGCCTGAGTGATGCTGGCCAGGCCGGTGACTCAGAGGCCGAGTTTCCAAGAGTCACGGTTATCACTGACGGGTCCCTGTCTGGCAGATGCAGCTATCACTTCCCTCTCTCTTTCTCACTGCTGAGTTATTCTTTTCTCTTCATTCTCCCCCTTCTATGTCTCCTCCACACATAGATATACCTGAGTCCTGCTTATTGTGATAGCTAAGAAGTTAGGTGGCCAGAGCTAGGTACACACTCCCCCTGCAGGAACAACTGTCCAGCAACTGATGAATGGGTACATCACAGGGGGCACCGCCATCCAATGGAATAGTGTTTGTTTAGCAATTAAAAAAAGAAGCATTGATACTTGCTGCGATATGGATGAACCTTGAAAACATGCTAAGTGAAAGAAGCCAGTCACAAAAGACCTCATAGTATACAATTCCTTCTGTATGAAATATCCATAGTAAGTAAACATGTAACGACAGAATGTATTAGTGCTTGCCTAGGGTGGGGGAATGAGGACTAAGGAGTAGTAGCTAAAGGGTATGGGCTTTCTTTCTTTCTTTTCTTGCAAAATACATTAAAAAATTCACTATCATTTTTCAGTTAAGTGCATTTACATTGTTGTGCAACCAAATTCCAGAACTCTTCATTTTTTAAAACTGAAACTCTGAAGCCATTAAACAACTCCCAATTCCTCTTTTCCCCAACCTCCAGAAACCACCATTTTACTTTCTGTCTCTCAGAAAGTAAATTTCTTTTATTTGAATTTGACTGCTCTCTAGGTACCTCATATAAGTGGAATTACACAGATTTTCCCCCCTTGAAGTACTGGGGATTAAACTAAGAGTACTTTGCACATGCTAGGGAAGTGCTCTACCACTGAGCTATGGCCTTCTGTTTTCTTTTGAGATAGTTTCACCAAGTTGCCCAGGCTGGGCTCAAACTTGTGATGCTTCTGTCTCAACCTCCCCTGTAGCTGAGGTTACAGATGTCCACCACTGCACCCAGCTGAAGTTTTGTCTTTTTGTGACTGCCTTGCTTTTCTTAGCATGATGTACTTAAGGTTCAACCATGTTGTAGCATGTGCTAGAATTTTCTGCCTTTAAGGCTGATATATATAATATATTACTTTTTGCCTAGGGATAGGGAAATGGATATGTCCATTTACTGATGGATCCTTGGGTCACTCTCATCTTTTGTCTATGGCGAATGATGCTGTTATGAAAACAGGTATACAACTCTCTCTTTGAAAATTTGCTTTAAATTCTTCTGGTATATATCCAGAAGCAAGATTTCTTCTTGGGTTGATAAAGATGTTCTAAAGTTGATTGTGTTGTTGGTTATGTAACTAAAATCATGCAATTATACTCTTGAAAGAGTAAATTGAATGGTATGTGAATTACTTGTCAATAAATCTCTCTCTATCATCCGCACACATGCACGTGCACATGCACACAAACACACACAGAGAGTCACAAAAAAACCAGTGTTCAGCCTGATCTCATAGGACATCATGTTAGCCAGTGAACCAGGGAGACACCAGGAGTGTTACATGCTGTGATGGAAAGTTGTTCTGATTACAAAATTCACTTTATAACATTTAATTTTGCCATCACACCTGAGAAGAGCACTTTATGACAGAAAGATTCAGTCAGTTGCTTTCTAAAAATGCAAATAGCCCACAGCTCCTTCGATGGACAAAAATACAGAGCATAATGCAGTAATCAAATGGAAGTCGTTTACCTAGACTCCCTGAGGACCCCACAGCTCTGGGAGGCCCTAAGCAGCTCTAAACTTCCGTGGACCCTAAACCCACGGGAGGCCCACTTGGCCCCAGAAAACTGCTGCCGTTGTTTCCCCTTGACCCCTCCCTTACTTCTTTAATTTCTTCCCTTTCTTTGTCAGAGAATTCCTGAATCCGTATGAGGAGGGGTGTGAGAGCAAAAGGATAAATAATTTAAAAAATAAAACCCCCAAAATTGTGTCTTGAAAATGACCCAAGAAGCCATCACAATGCACATCACATGAGATAATAAATCTGTAAAGAGTCCATTAGTGGAGTAGTGGAGGCCATTTTCTTAGAGGTTTTGCCATTTGGCATTAAATTTTTT